AAAGGGCAATTACTTTCTTCTGAGGAGTTAATTACAGGTATCCATAATGGGGGGGGGGGGGTGTTCACATATTCACAGATACCAATAACTCCAAACATCAAGTGATAAAAAAAATAAAGACGCATGAACCCAAGAACACACGCGTACCAAACATGACATGAAAACCAAATGGTTTGGGTTTTTTCATGAAGCGTCCTGTATGTATCCAGTTAAGCTCTACTTGGTCTTCAGCTGAAAAAAAAAATCTGAAAAAAAAAACGGCACATTTGTAAGTCGGAGTAAGTCATCAAACATGTCATATTTTGTTCTAAATGATATGCTTGCTTTCTGCACTGAATCCCACAACATACTGGAGCCTTTAATATTATGCAGATTCCCAAGTTTTGTGCCAGGTTTCCCCGTTCCAAACCCGAATTATGCCTGGCATTAAAACATCCTCCATCCAAAGAGGCAGACTCCAGTTTTTTTTTCTTTTTTCTTTTTTCCAAGCTTTGATTCCAGCAAAGCAGAACGTCAGGAGTGATTGTGATGCAGTAATGCGCCTTGATCACCAATTAGAACGTCAATTCTCCACCGAAATGGTCCTGGCACAGGGGCTCAGATCAGAACAACCAACTGGCTTTGAATAATGACGTAACTGACTGCGCTACTAAAAAACAGCCCACAAATAAACATGCCACATCACAGCTTTTGTCTTTTGAGTCTTGCTCCTAGTTTGGAGAATGTATTCCAGCATCCAAATACCAGAATCAAGACTCCAACATTAAATTCAGACTAAAGCTTATGGAGACAGATTAGACTCAATAATAATTCACGCAAAAGACACGATGTACACATGCGTAGCCAAATTCACGTGCATAAAACCAAATTCACGTGCGTAAAATATTTATTTATATTCACAAAAAAATTTCACGTGCTCAAAATAAAAATACATTTTCATAAAATACGTTTCACAAATGCAAAACACCATTTGCAGATGTATAAGAGTGTACAAAAAGTTTTGAATGTTTAAAACTTGCGAGTTCATCCTGAATGAGAATGTGCAAATCCTCTTTCACGTACGACTCCCCCTGGATACGTGTGTGTGTATTTTTGAGACTTTCCTGGCAGAGTCAGGCCTACTCGTACCTTTCAGCCAATCAGATGAGAGCTGCATTCAATGAAACCAACTCTGCGCTTCTTTTGCGCAGACTGTTCCTCTCCAGCACGGCGAACGGAGAAAGCAGCAGATGCAGTCACACTTTTTAAAAATGTATTTATTCGCTTGACCATATCCTCACTCTTTTTATCCATTATTTTGCCGCAGCTCCGCTCTTCTTATTTATTGTCTCGCAGCCGCATGAGCCAAATGTAGCCTACAGGGTAATGTTGAAGATTAAGTATTATTCCGGCCACAATAATGTTGCAGCGCCGTTGTGGTACAGTGCTCAGCACGTTAAGATTATAATGCCCTTGGACCCGAGTACGATCCTCACCTGAATTAATATTTTTTTTTTTTTCATTTTTATTGTTAAGACTTATAAAACTGTAAGGTTGTTTAACATTTGAAGTTCTAAAGCTGCTGTTTTCTTGAAAAAGACGTGATAGTGTGATTAGAAACTGAATGAAACTGAAAAAAATAAAGATCCTCACCTGAGAAAATATCTTTTTTTTAGTTTCATTCAGTTTCAATCACGTCTTTTTCAAGAAAACAGTTGCTTTAGACCTTCAAATGTTCAACAACCTTACAGTTTTATATGTCTTAACAATAAAAATGAAAAAAAAAAATTTAAAAAGATCATAATTCAGATGAGGATCAAACCCGGATCTAAGGGCATGATAACCCAACCTACTGACCACTGTACCACAACCTGTAATACTATTGTGGCCGGAATGATACTTAATCTTCAACATTACCCTTTAGGCTACATTTGGCTCATGCGGCTGCGAGACAATAAATAAGAAGAGCGGAGCTGTGGCAAAATAATGGATAAAAAGAGTGAGGATATTGTCAAACATATAAATACATTTTAAAAAGTGTGACTGCATCTGCTGCTTTCTCCGTTCGCCGTGCTGGAGAGGAACAGTCTGCGCAAAAGAAGCGCAGAGTTGGTTTCATTGAATGCAGCTCTCATCTGATTGGCTGAAAGGTACGAGTAGCCCTGACTCTGCCAGGAAGTCTTAAAAATACACACACACACACGTATCCAGGGGGAGTCGTACGTGAAAGAGGATTTGCACATTCTCATTCAGGATGAACTCGCAAGTTTTAAACATTCAAAACTTTTTGTACACTCTTATACATCTGCAAATGGTGTTTTGCATTTGTGAAACGTATTTTATGAAAATGTATTTTTATTTTGTGCACGTGAACATTTTTTTGTGAATATAAATAAATATTTTACGCACGTGAATTTGGTTTTATGCTCGTGAATTTGGCTACGCATGTGTACATCGTGTCTTTTGCGTGAAATTCTTTTGAGACTTATCTGATTCCATAAAAGCAGGTCATTTGTTTGGAGCTAGTTCTCGATGTTCACATCAACAGCGCCGGTAATATCATACTTTGACTAATTAGTTTTCAGGTTTGAAGGTCAATGAGGTCAAATATGGGTAAAATCTGAACACACTCAAGCTTCAAAGTTGTAATGTAATCGGCAGATTTTCATGTTCAGTACTGTAGTCCCAGGGCCAAACCTGTTGGGAATAACTAGTCAATACAGCAGTATATCAGTAAATGTAGATGAAATATGAATCTTTTTTTTGAAGTCTAAATTTTGTTTGTGTTGTTCTATCTTTAGGTGAGCGGCCGTATCAGTGTCCCTACTGTGACAAAGCCTTCAGCAAGAACGACGGGCTAAAAATGCACATTCGCACACACACCCGGGTAAGACTACAGTCATGCATGAACTGATTCACTTACAAACCTCCTGCTCATCCACCTGTCCATTTCATCCTCATTCAACGCTCTGCTTGTGTGTGTATGTGAACAATCGTATGTAAAATCTCCTCTGATGATGGATCACCTGGGTGTTTGTTGTGACATCATTTCCTGGAAGAGCTGTATCACATCTTTCAGAAACAGCAGCGTTTCTCCGATTTTTAACACAGATGGAGTGTCAGCATCAGCGTTAATCCAAGGAAAGCTGAACAGACGCGGCACGTCATTACATCTCTTCAGCAAATATGCAGCATGATGCGGTAATTCAGCAGGGTAGCGTACGAGCTGTGGACTGACAAACAGCAGAAGCACAGCCATCATGACTAAACAAAGCAGTTCTGATGCGGTAATGACAGAACTGCGCTAATCCTCTTATTGGGTCTCATTGAAGAGTTGCCCAAATCCATCCAGGGTAAACAAATGCAGGTTCATCAGACCCCATATGTGCTGAAATATTGATGCAGCATCACTTTTTTTCTGGCCTTTATATGCAAATGATGTTCGTTACAGAGAGTGTCAGATTTCCACTTTCAGCAAAATGCTGAATATGCTTAAACACACACATATTTGAGAAGTTCCAGAGCCTGACGGCCCCATATAAAACATCACAATATAGCTTTTTTCCATATCAGCTAAGTTTCCCGCAAGATCAAATTAACGTTTTTTTTTTTAGATGTTTTCAGTATGTTAGACTTAAGGATATCTATATGCTAGTGTGCACCCAAAACAATGACAAAATTGACATTAGAAGATATAAGCATACAGAGCTTGCAGTTTGTAACTTTTACTTAAATAGAAAGATTTTTTTACGTCACTTCAAATCTTCCGACCAATCAAATGCTCTCTAGTATCTGACATGCCCCATCAGACATTTGCCATTTCCAATGGAAGCGTGCACATGGTGTGGAAGCGGCGCGCACGTGTCGCGCACGCATTTTCCAGGTTCACCCAGTTGAAAAACATCTGAATTTTTCTGAACGCCCCAAGCGCACTGCGATTTATGTAAGTAGATTAACCAATCTGCTTCACACCTTTTATGGAATATACATATTTCAGTAATAACAGCAGACCAATGTCCTTCCAAATGCTGCAGTGCTTTTTACTTTTCTCCATAAACTTGCATCAGAGCTGCAGCAATGGTTTGTCCATTTGTCATCCTCTGAGAAAACGATCACCTACAGTTGAAGTCAGAATTATTAGACCCCTTGTTTATTTATTTATTTATTTTTTGCTTAAGTGGCTAATAATTTTGTCCCTAAAATGGTGTTTAAAAAATTAAAAACTGCTTTTATTCTAGCCGAAATAAAACAAATAAAACTTTCTGCAGAAGAAAAAATATTATCAAACATACTGTGAAAGTTTCCTGGCTCTGTTAAACGTTATTTGGGAAAGAATTTAAAAAAGAAAAAAAATCAAAAGGCGGCGAATAATTTTGACTTTGACTGCAGTTACTTGAGACGCCATAGAAAATGGTGAAGGAAAGCACACGCTTGTGCTTATCACTTCAAGTCAGATTGACAAAACACGTGAAAATGAGTGCTGTATAGGAGCAAGGAGGAGATTGTAAATAAAAAAGGATGTAAGGATGTCGCCAGAGTGGCTTTTTGGTTTCTTTTCTTGTGCATCCCAGCCACTAGCTCCCCATCTGAAAGATTTTGTAGCATAGTGGGTAATGCTGTCATTCACCTGCACAATTTGTAATGGTCAGTATGTATTTTATGTACTTTACCTGAAAGCTCAGATTTGATTATCATAATTTATTTTGTTAGTAGAGTTTGAGGTTTACTGTATCATTATTATGGTGACGCAGTGGCGCAGCAGGTAGTGCTGTCACCTCACAGCAATAAGGTCGCTGGTTCGAGCCTCGGCTGGGTCGATTGCGGTTTCTGTGTGGAGTTTGCTTGTTCTCACAGCGTTTGCGTGGGTTTGCTCCTGTTTCCCCCACAGTCCAAACACATGCAGTACAGGTGAATTGGCTAAAATTTTCCATAGTGTATGAATGTGAGTGAATGTGTATGTGTATGGATGTTTCCCAGAGATGGGTTGCGGCTGGATGGGCATCTGCTGCGTAAAAACATGTGCTGGATAAGTTGGCGGTTCATTCCTCTGTGGCGACCCTGGATTAAAAAAGCGACTAAGCCGAAAAGAAAATGATTGACTGAATGTGTTATTGTTATTCACACCTCACAGATGTTGATCTATCTTTACCATTGCATAAACTTTGTGACATTGTGTCTATCAAGTTTGAGTCTCTTTAACACTTCTGTTTATTTCATTATAAAAAGATCAGATATTTCGTTTAAACGTGTTTGTTTTTGACTATTAAATCTATTTGCCTAAGTAATGTTGGTAAAATAAAATGAAGTAGTTAAATAAATCCCAATATTCCTAAATGTATTGTTAAAAATATTCAGTAATTATCGATATCAAACGATAAGTAACATGATATCTTGATTTTTATTTATATGTCGCCCAGCCCTAGATGAAAGTAAACACTATTGGCTGTTTTTTAAAGGGGAGGAGCTACTCTATGCCCCACCCTCTTTTCGTGATTCAATCGAGATTAAATCACACATGGAATAAACAATGCTCTTCACTGGACTTAAATATATACCTCAGCTTTATTTTAGTAGGCATACTTTATAAAATGAACTTAAAGTTTGTTTCTTTTTCATAAGGGAGGTTTTTGTGTGTTGCTGACACTTTTACTGCTCATCTGATTCAGCCGTGAGCCTCAGAGCGTCACACTGGATGTGTTTTACTCTAGCAGAGCCAGAACTCTCATCTTACACTAAACTTTACTCAAACACATGTGTCCTCAATGGCACAGGCCCATATTGATGATGTCTCTCTGCTCACGCACACAAACACACTTCATCTGCAGCACCTTCTCATCTGGTGCGGTGTGAACACACCTCGTCCTGCTCCACTTCCCATGATTCCCTCTTCCTTTATCCACCCATTCCTGACACAGCAGGCTGATAGAAGTTGGGATGGACTATCAGTGTGTTCACTTTCTCCTCCCTGATGTACACACACACACTAACTGTCTCTAAGGCCTCCCTTTCAAAAGCGATTAGTTGACTTTACTTTAAAAAAAAAAGTAATCTTGTTGCATTATAATTATTAAGTAAACAAACTATATGCATAATTATATAATAAAGGTATAATAAATAATATTAAATATTATATTATATAATTATTATTATATATATTATTTATATATATATATATTGTATTATAATATATATTATTATATAATATTATATTATATATAATAATAATAAAGGTGCTGTAAGTCAATGAGTTTACTGACTTTTTTCTAAGTAAAATAAACTTTGTTGCAAGGCGGCATGGTGGCTCAGTGGTTAGCACTGTCACCTCACAGCAAGAACATATATATATACAGTTCAAGTCAGAATTATTCGCCCAAATTTTATTAATTAATTAATTTTTTTAATATTTCCTAAATGATGTTGAACAGATTCAGGAAATTTTCACAGTATGTCTGATAATATTTTTTCTTCTGAAGAAAGTCTTATTTGTTTTATTTTGGCTAGAATAAAAGCAGTTTTTAATTTTTTTTTACACCATTTTAAGGTCAAAATTATTAGCCCCAGAACAAACCATTGTTAAACAATAACTTCCCTAATTACCCTAACCTGCCTAGTTAACCTAATTAACCCAGTTAAACCTTTAAAAGTCACTTTAAGCTGTATAAAAGTGTCTTGAAGAATATCTAGTCTAATATTATTTACTGTCATCATGACAAACATAAAATAAATCAGTTATATATATATATATATATATATATATATATATATATATATATATATATACATACAGTTGAAGTCTGAATTATTAGCCCCCTTGTTTTTAATAATAGTTTAATAATAATAATAGTTTTAATAATAGTTTAATAATAGGCAGAGTATAAATAGTATCTTAATAATAGGCATATACTGTAATAAGCCAGTAGTAAATGGTGTGAATTGTCACTAAAGTGTTGACATCTTTTGAGTCAAATTCGTCTTTTGTTGCTAATAATTTATTTATATTAAATGAATTATGATTATGTATACTTTATAATCTTTAAAAAAATAGTTTTGCATGGTCAGTTAATATTAATAATGATTAAATAATGTATTAATGAATTAAAGTTTACATGTAAATATTTACAATTAAATTTGTTTTAATATATAAATTACACATATACAGTTACACATGAAAATGTAGGCTTTTAACATGTATTTCCAATGAGCCTGTGTTAAATATATATATGTATATATATATGTATATATATTTATTTATTTATTTTTTTTTTTTTTATGTATATACAATTATTTTTGTCAGTTTAATCTGATGCGGACCCCAAAATGATCTTGTTTTTTGACCCAAATATGCTGAACACAGTGGACACATACTCTCTTACTACAGTATGTGCAGGTGTGTTTTGTTTAGTGTGTGTGTGTGTGTGTGTGTGTGTGTGTGTGTGTGTGTGTGTGTTTCCTGGCTGTTATGCAAGTTAATGTATGCGTGTGTCCATGTGAAATGAGTTCCAGGTGTGTAACACATGAAAGGCTCTTCAGTTGTTTATCCCGGTCCATCTTCAGTTCGAGTGCGTGTGTGTGTGTGTGTGTGAGGTATGGTCTCTAGTTTCTGTAAACACACAGATGTATGTTGACGCCTGAGGGTTTGTTCTGTCTCTGTCTGAAGGCTCTTCATTAGTCTATTCAAAAACACAATAACAGAGTTCAGCCAAAAGGTTTCACTGCCTGAAAAGTGTTAATCAGGATGCTTTTCTCCATCTGAGGTGTGCAGTCCTGCTCCTAGAGGCCGTCTTCCTGAGGAGCACATACAGTTGAATTCAGAATTATTAGCCCCCCTTTATATTTTCTGTCTAACGGAAAGAAGACTTTTCTTAACATAATAGTTGTAAAGAGGTGGACCACTACAATATCATATTTTAAACTTGCTGATGTGTAATGTATGTGAACATAAACAACATCTCTGAATGTAAGACGCCTAAAGTTCTATGCAAAGGGAGACATTGGCTTTTACAGAGTTAGCTTAGCAAAGCCTACAGCGAACGAAGTTTGGGGACTACAAAATGTATGATGATGTCATAAACCCTTCAGGTTAAGCACATACACCCTGCGCAGTGAAGGGGTGTGGCCAAAGGCGCTGTAATGTTATAAAGGAGATGCTTACTGGTGACGTGTGGCTGATCTGTGAATCACAGCCCTTTTGTTAGCTGACCAATCAGAGTCTCTTGTGGGCAGCCCATCTTAACATTGGGGGATAATAATATTGATTAACAAGAATGATTAATTTTCTTAAAATTAAAAGCTTCTTTCATTTTAGCCGATATAAGTAAGAGTTTAACCCGAAAAAAATTACAGGAACTACTGTGAAAATTCCTGAATCTGCTACATGTCAATTGTGAAATATTTGAAAAAAATAAAATAAAAAAATAAATAAAATATATATATATATACAACAGTTCTGTCTGGTTCTTGAACCTGATTGGCTGATAGCCGTGAGATATTTTTCCAGTAACAGCACACAAATTAATCTTCACCTTTGTGTATTACTTCGCCCACATACAAGCAGAGGACTCTCTACAGTTTGACAAATATTACTGCTGTTAGAGAGCATAATATACTTTTAAGGCTATTTTAGTGGAGAATGTAGTTGTTTGGATTGCAACTATGCAGTTTATTTACAAGGATAGTGCCTATTTTAAAATATTTATCATTACTGGGAGACAGTGCGTCGACGGCCATTAGTCAAAGACTGTTGACGTTGTCTATCCACAAGATGGCGCCAGGACCGCATAATAAGTCCTTGCTTTGTAGATGAAAACTGCATGTTTTCTTTATCATGAATAAGACGCTGCGAATAAAAAGCTGGATTCATCCTCGTCCCTTCTTATCGCAAACACAACAGCAGCCTGGTAGTGATTGCGCTGCTTTTTTTGCCGTTAATTGTTGTGATATTGTAACTGTCCCTTAATGTTTGATATGCATTGTCTATAAATGTCATGTCCCCTTTAAGAGGACTTCTTTTCTGGTTGTTTTACCTTTGAGATGTAAGCACGCAAATATGTCAGCTGCAGATAAGAATGAATGGCGCACAGTAGTTCCTAATACAAAAGGGTTTAGACTCTGTGTTTGATTTTCTTTTTTTATACACGATTGTGTTGTCGAACTGTTGTATAAATGCAATATCACACTCGTAGCAGTGCAATATGGCTGTATATCAGCACTGGTGGGAGGCGTGCTTTGCGTTTGCGTTAGAGTGTGATATTGCTCATGTGTGTATATATATATATATATATATATATATATATATATATATATATATATATATATATATATAATTTATTTAATGAAAAGTAACTATTTACTGGAGTCATTTTTTCATCAGAAACGTTTTTTTCTCATACTCGAGTAACTTTTAAGTTTGTAATTTTTACTTTTACTTGAGTAAAAATCTCCGCAGGTACTTGTACTTTTACTTGAGTATAGATTTTGGATACTCTACCCACCTCTGCCTGTATATTTACCACCTCTCCTTCTCTTTCAGGAAAAGCCATATAAATGCAGCGAGTGCAACAAGGCCTTCAGTCAGAAGCGCGGGCTGGACGAGCACATGCGCACACACACCGGAGAGAAGCCCTTTCAGTGCGACGTAAGTCACTGATTCAAATTATCCATTCAGAGTGAGTCTTCTGTAATCAACTCACTGATTCAACTGATCCTTTCAGAGTGAATCTCCAGTTAACAACTCACTGATTCAAATGATCAATTTAGAGTGAGTGTTCTGTAATCAACTCACTGATTCAAATGGTTATTTCAGAGTGAATCTACAGTAAACAACTCACTAATTCAAATGATTCATTCAGAGTGAGTCTCCAGTTAACAACTCACTGATTCAAATGATCCATTCAGAGTGAGTCTCCATTAACAACTCACTAATTTAAATGATCCATTCAGAGTGAGTCTCCTTTAACAACTCACTGATTCAAATGATCCATTCAGAGTGAGTCTCCATTAACAACTCATTAATTCAAATGATCCATTCAGAGTGAGTCTCCATTAACAACTCACTGATTCAAATGATTCATTCAGAGTGAGTCTCCATTAACAACTCACTAATTCAAATGATCCATTCAGAGTGAGTCTCCTTTAACAACTCACTGATTCAAATGATCCATTCAGAGTAAGTCTCCATTAACAACTCACTAATTCAAATGATCCATTCAGAGTGAGTCTCCATTAACAACTCACTGATTCAAATGATCCATTTAGAGTGAGTCTCCATTAACAACTCACTAATTCAAATGATCCATTCAGAGTGAGTCTCCATTAACAACTCACTGATTTAAATGATCCATTCAGAGTGAGTCTCCATTTACAACTCACTAATTTAAATGATCCATTCAGAGTGAGTCTCCAGTTAACAACTCACTGATTCAAATGATCCATTCAGAGTGAGTCTCCATTAACAACTCACTAATTCAAATGATCCATTCAGAGTAAGTCTCCATTAACAACTCACTGATTCAAATGATCCATTCAGAGTGAGTCTCCATTTACAACTCACTAATTTAAATGATCCATTCAGAGTGAGTCTCCAGTTAACAACTCACTGATTCAAATGATCCAATCAGATTGAGTCTCCATAAACAACTTACTAATTCAAATGATCCATTCAGAGTAAGTCTCCATTAACAACTCACTGATTCAAATGATCGTTTCAGAGTAAGTCTACATTAACAACTCACTGATTCAAATGATCCATTCAGAGTGAGTCTCCATTAACAACTCACTGATTCAAATGATGTGTTCAGAGTGAGTCTCCTTTAACAACTCACTAATTCAAATGATGTGTTCAGGGTGATTCAGTATTACTTTATTAGGCTATTTCAACTTTCACTCAAGCGCCAGATTTGAGTATACTTTGTCCAATAGCGTAAATGAACAGCAGATTTTTTATTTCTGTGTGAATTATCCCTTTAAAAATCTTTGTCCTTACCTAATAAAGGTACGCTCGTTTTGAGGTGCTGACTAAAAGGTGTAAAATACACTGAAACTACAATCAGTTTGAATTGAATTGCAATGAAAATGTTTGAAAACAAGTCAAAAGAATAAAGCTCTGAGCCAGTGAGATTGCTTTAGAGGGGAAGTCTGGACATACGTAGCTTTGAGTGTTTTAAAATGTTCAAATCCTCATTCTGACGTTTCACAAAACAGCTCCATGAAGTTCCTTTTCTTTAACTTCAACGGGAGCCGTGAAGGACAGACGCGACCACCCCGCAAACCACTTCAAATGCTGTCAAATAGTCCGAGAAAGCGAGTCAATAAGAAATGAATCTGGAGTATAGGTGGTTTCTGGCACGTCACGCTTCAGAAATGCTGCGCATGAAAGACGGAGCAGGAATAATCTGCCGTCTTCAATGGAGGCGTCCTAACAACCGTCATCAGAGCGCCAGATTTCCGACCGAATCACTCCAGGCTTGAAAGACCTGTCACGTCAAATGCGGAGAGAACATTAAAAAAAAAAAAGAGGAAACAGCCGATTTCATTCTCGTATGGTCTTTAAAGAAGTCAAAACTTAGAGAGACATGCTTGGAGTTCAGCATAGACTTCAGATAAATCCACAGATTGTTTCTCATTTACTTTAGTGAAAGTATGTGTCTGTGTGTGTGTGTTTGAGAGTCTCCTGTGGAGTGTGTTCACTGCCAGCGGAGCGTTTCAGAGGAAGCTTATCAGCATGTCTTTACATCACTCTCTGATTTATACACAGTCTGAGAGAAAACAATAATAAAGCATTAAAGGGGACCTTTTATCCAAAAATCACTTTTGTAAGGGGTTTAAACACAGCGGTCTGTGAATATCTTCAGCCTCTAATAGTAAAAATGTATAAATTAAATTGTTTTTAATCAGACTTGACGAAAACTGTCTGCAGAAACACTTTGATTGACATTCTCCATTTGTATGTGTCATCAGAGGTTAAAAGCCCCGCCCACTAGTCACCATCCCTCCCTCATTTGCATATAAACAGCCCTGAGTGAGAAGCAGCCGTCCGTCGTTAGAGTTTTGACTCTGCTGCTATCACCATAGCGTTTGTAGCTCCGCCCTCTTCTAAAAAGACTAAAATCTCATTTGAGTTTAAAGTGACAGTCACCAAAATAGCACAGTTAGGATCAAAGAGCTCACACTTAGCTAATGATTGATAATTAAGCATGTTTGGCATGCTGTCTCAGGAGAGAGCCCTGAGCTTATGAGATCCTTGAGCCCGGGGCTCCCTCCTGTTTGAAGGGGAGTTTGAGCTCAGGTAGGTCTCAAAAACTCCTTTGCTTGTGAACGTGTTAGGAATAGCTGAGATATAGCCGGCTAAGGGTTGTCTTAAGATGGTACATTGGAAATTGGGAAAAACCCACTCGAGCATGGGGAGAACATGCAAACTGTACAGAAACGCAGACTGGCCCTGTGAGGGCTCGAACCAGTGGTGTTCTTGCTGTGAGGCAACAGTACTAACCACCGGGCTGCCCTGCCACCCTATCAGAAGAAGTTGGGGTGGAAGGGGTGCTCAGTAAACAACGGTGAGTTCGGTGAACTGATCACCTTCACGGCCAATCACAGTCATTCCTGTTGAGCATGTGATCACAATGTCAAATCAGCTGTTTAAGAACAGCGCTCAAACGTTGGAAATAGATGCCTTTTTAAAATATCATCACCGATTGGTTCTGAATTCCAGTATCGTGACAACAATATACCAAAGTCTTTCCATTTAACCGCCAGTCTCACATGTCAGCCATGTTTGTAGTTTTTAATACTTTTTTATTCGTATTTGTAGTTCTATTTGATTTCACACACTGAATCCATATTATGCAAATTGAGCGACGCAGTGGCGCAGTGGGTAGCACGTTCGCCTCACAGCAAGAAGGTCGCTGGGTCGCTGGTTCAATCCTCGGCTCAGTGGAGTTTGCATGTTCTCCTTGCGTTTACGTGGGTTTCCTCCGGGTGCTCCGGTTTCCCCCACAGTCCAAAGACATGTGGTACAGGTGAATTGGGTGGGCTAAATTGTCCGTAGTGTATGAGTGTGTGTGTGGATGTTTCCCAGAGATGGGTTGCGGCTGGAAGGGCATCCACTTGGTAAAAACTTGTTGGATAAGTTGGCGGTTCATTCCGCTGTGGCGACCCCGGATTAATAAAGGGACTAAGCCGACAAGAAAATGAATGAATAAATATTATGCAAATTGGGATGCAGAACTAGTCTAAGAACTATGATGTGTTTAATCTGATTGGCTGGACTGAGAAACAGAAAAGTGTGTGTGTGTGATCTGAGTCTATAACACATGATTCAGAGATGGACACGAGTGTGTTTTCAAGGACAGAGAGCAGATAAAGAGGAGCTGAGTTGCTGTGGTTTGGACTTGAAGTGCTGGAAGGTCAGACGGGGGTCAGTTTGTGCAGGGCGGTTTCATCCTGCTGTCCGCCTGGCAGGACGTCCTTCCACTGCGGCTTTCACACCACAGCAACACCCTCAGAGACTCACACACACACACACACACACACACACACGTATGTACATTCACACACACATATAGACACAAACACTGACTCACAAACAGACAGAAACACACAGACACAAACACCCTCTCACAGACTCACACGTACATACATAAACATACACACACACACACACACACACATACACACACACACACACTGAGGGCGTTGTGCTTGGTGGTCTGCTGCGCGTCACGCTGCTGATTATGTAGACTCAGTGTGGGCTGCAGGGTTAAACTCAAGAGCGGCTGCAGCTCTTCCAGCGGTCTCAGAGTAAACCCCGCTGAACGTCACACACTACCCATAATCCACCTCTCTCTCAGAGTAAACCCCGCTGAACGTCACACACTACCCACAATCCTCCTCTCTCTCAGAGTAAACCCCGCTGAATGTCACACACTACCCACAATCCTCCTCTCTCTCAGAGTAAACCCCGCTGAATGTCACACACTACCCACAATCCTCCTCTCTCTCAGAGTAAACCCCGCTGAACTTCACACACTACCCACAATCCTCCTCTCTCTCAGAGTAAACCCCGCTGAACTTCACACACTACCCACAATCCTCCTCTCTCTCAGACTAAACCCCGCTGAACTTCACACACTACCCACAATCCTCCTCTCTCTCAGACTAAACCCCGCTGAACGTCACACACTACCCACAATCCTCCTCTCTCTCAGAGTAAACCCCGCTGAACTTCACACACTACCCATAATCCTCCTCTCTCTTAGACTAAACCCCGCTGAACGTCACACACTACCCACAATCCTCCGCTCTCTCAGACTAAACCCCGCTGAACGTCACACACTACCCACAATCCTCCTCTCTCTTAGAGTAAACCCCGCTGAACGTCACACACTACCCACAATCCTCCGCTCTTAGACTAAACCCCGCTGAACGTCACACACTACCCACAATCCACCTCTCTCTCAGAGTAAACCCCGCTGAACGTCACACACTACCCACAATCCTCCTCTCTCTCAGAGTAAACCCTGCTGAACGTCACACACTACCCACAATCCTCCTCTCTCTCAGAGTAAACCCCGCTGAACGTCACACACTACCCACAATCCTCCTCTCTCTCAGAGTAAACCCCGCTGAACGTCACACACT